CCAATAACACTATACATTCAAATTTACATTTATTTCTGTCAGTGTGATAATTTCGGTCTTTAGGAATAACTGGTGTTATTGGGCTGAGAATCCAATTAAAAATAAAACATCACCAATATTTAATATGAAAAAATTAAAAACTATTATTTCAGTAAAAAAAAAAATCTAGTTTTTATTACATTTAGAACAAAGATGTAATCCTACGTTTATTTAAACCAGGTCATGCATGACCCAGCATGATCGAACAATGAGATGGGGTCTTATTATGGAAAATTGTTATGTGAAACTGGGTTATTCCCATTTCACCCACAAAACATAGAATTCCACAAATTTCTTTCCATGCATTTTTTTATAAAAAAACTAACAATTTTGTATGGATAAGCGTTGTTGTATAGTTATTGGTTACGGTAAGACACCTTAAATGCCTACATTTTTCTTACAGAGAAAAAGTATACTGTTGTGGTTAGCTTGTTTGTAGTCCCAAGTACTTGTTAGCCTAGTAGTTTTTTTTTCTTTTATAGATAACAGATATAACATTATTATGGAAATAGTTTGGTGAAGATCCGATCCAACCAGGCAAATGTAAATCTACTTAGTTTGACGGTTTGCTGCGGTGGGAATATTAGTGTTATTATTAATAAAATCCAGCTTCATATTTTGAGTCATGATTTTAGTTATGAAATATTGTACATAAATAATTGTACGTTCATAGTAAAACTTTAATTACCCAAAATATACAAAAACTGTACTCCTTCCAACGTTCGCCTACTTTCCCCTTCATATTACTTCATATTAAACATTCCAACTTAACCCGCGATGGATACATCTTTCCCTGAATCATATTTTCTTGGTTGTTGACACACTGCCTTTAAAAGACAAGGCTTAATCCTCTTTAAAAAAGATTGTACCAAACTTGTTGTTTGTTTCTCAATAAGGAAATACCATTACTCAAGATTATAACAGAAAGAAATGTCCTTCTGTCTCACATTAGTTTGGAAAAGGAAAAAGTTACTCTATTGAGTGTTATTTTTTTATAGCTAAAATGGACATGTTACGTTAATGAATAAACATCTAGGAAATGTCCACTTCGTCTGACGAGCAATGGCCAAGACATGGAACTTCGGCTTTGAAAAGAAACAATTTTCTAGTTCGGCGCTCTTGCGTTGAGTTTACAAGCCTCAGCTGGTTTGTATTGTCACGTCTGTCGGTTTACAATTTGCGTTGACAACAACCAAAAAATTAAATAACATTTTCAAATCCTAACAACCAGAGAGGTCACCAAACATGCTCACAAGAGTCTCTTTTGTTGCGACGTAATTGCGTAATAAATATCAGCCTCATTCAAATAATTTTAGGCACAACATACACCTGAGATATCAAGTAGTCAGTGACAAATGATAAAAACAAATGAATAAATCAGCAATACAATTATATAGGTGTGTTTTATTTACCCTTTTCATCCATGCTATTAAAAAAATTCTTCCTTACCTTATTAAAGAAAGTGGACTGAATCATCTAATATTCTTAAAATCTAATGTTGGCGTCCTCATCTTAAATAATTGATATTGATTGATATTGATAATGTTGAGCTTGTGATATAGAGCCTAGAATTAATTTATAGCCCAATAAATAGTGTAATCTCTAAAATAAATCTCGCTTGGATAACAAACCAGTCCCATTATATTTGAAGGAAAGTTCTATCAAAATCAGATATCCAAAGATATGATCAGGGATTATGTGTCCATGATGATAGTTAAAATGTGTTTTGTGATAATTTTTCAATCAGGCTAAAATAGTAAAATTTAGAATTTACAAAATAAGATGCCATGTTCCTATAAGACGGACTTCACATAAGGATTGTCATAATGAGAAGCCAGGAAGTAAGCTTACTAACAGTTAGGTAGCCGGTCATAGTTCTATGTTATAATAACTCAATAACTCAATAACTCATTTATTTAGCAAGATTAACATTAAAAATGCATTAGCCAAGTCAAATTTACAAAAAATAACTATTAACTAACTTTTAAAATAATTAAAATTAAAATTCATTAGGACTGTCCGTCAGCGAGAAAGGCGCGGACACTGTAGTAGCCTTTACCCACGAGAAATGACCTCAAGTGCCTTTTGAAGCATCCCGGATCTGATGTGGACTTGATTTGAAGTGGGAGAGCATTGAACAGTTTGATGGCATTATAGTTTAGATGTCTTTCAAAGAATGTGGTTGAATGGGCTGGAATTCTCAGATTGAAAGTATTGCGAAGCAGATACGAGTGGGTGGATGTGGTGTGGAAATGAGAATAATTTGACTTCAGAAAAGTGAGGACTTCTAGAATGTAAATACAGGGAAAAGTTAGAATTGCGGATGATTTAAATACAGCTCTACAAGTTTGTTTGTAGGGAAGGCCGTGAATTATTCTGATAGCTCTCCTTTGAAGGCGATAAAGGAAATGGGTTCTTGTGCTTTCACCTCCCCATAGTGCAACTGCATATATCATGTGTGGATAAAGTACACCGTAGTAAGCAGTAAGAAGTACATCTTTGTTTGAAAATTTTGCTAGTTGGCGCAGAAGAAAAATTCCTGAACTGATCTTTCTACAGACAGATATAATGTGCACAAGACTGAATCACAAATGCAATTTAGGTTCACGGACAGATCTAGCGTTTCATACTCACCGGGACACACTTTGTGTAATTATTACTGAGGTTATAGTTAGTATCTAATCTAGTAGTAATCTGAGTAGCGTAACCGATAAAACATCATTTATGTAGAGTTTTAAAATGACTGTTGTTCAAATTCAGACAACTAGTATATGCTTTGTTCTTTAGTTTAAGATCGGAAAATATCAGAGATTTAATATTTCTCTAAACAATTGTTTTTTTTTTTTTTTTTTTTTTTTTGTATTTGTTTTGCCAACATTTTTTTACTCGAGCCTTTTTTTCTGTACGAATGAGATAATGTATGGCTAATGCCAGCCTCTATCTTGACAATGGTTACTTTGTGGTCCGCAAGCCACACAACTAACCGCTGAGTCTATACAGCGAAATGGGTTCAGCTCTTTAGTGAGGCTTGCTGTTTACTTTGTTTTGTCTTAATGTGTTTGGGAACAAACTACGTTTTGGAAAGTTCCTTTTTTAATTTTTATCTCACAATATGCTACTGTTATAAAAAGAACTATATATTTAAAGTGTGTACAAAAGACTTGTACGACTTTACACTGAATTCACGATGTTAGTTTTCAACGAAAAATTTTTCCCTGTGCTTGATGTCAGCCAAGTTCTTAAGTTTGATTTTTCTCATTGCTGCTAAGAAATGAGTTGACAAGCCGACACAAAAAAATAAGGTGTTTGCCAACATACTGTTTCGTCGACTTCTTGACATTTAACCTTTAGATTTCCTTTTATATGTGGATATAATGAACATAGTCTGCCAGACGATTACCTCAACTGATGAACTAAGAAACAATTAGGATGAAAGCTTTATCCAGCATTCCAACGAAGTGCTAAAAATGGATGTCTATTGGAGCAACAATATAAACCACCTGCGGATCGTAAATGACCAAACGCCCAACGATTGGGGGCACCGAAGTAGAAAATTGTTTCTTTTCAAACCTCAAGTTTTCATGGCCGGAACTTTGGATGGTAAAAACATGTTTTACATCCGAGAAAATCTAATAATAATTTCGAAAAATAAGTCGTGTAATTTATTCCTAAAAAAATATCATCGTTCACAAATAAAAGTCATCTAGAAATTAATGTTTTAGTGGTTTCTTCACTCTTTAATTTTCGAGCGTCAGATGTACAAATTGCTGTAGGCATTACATGATTTCGAGTATATTTTAATTCTTTATTTAATTATAAGTGGGCATAAATGTGTTCTATTGACATTCAATAAACTCATGACTTTTTCCAAATACAAGTCCTTGAGGTTGCCAATATTTTCATTATTTTATTTTATTAATTCCCATTCTATATTAAGGTAATTACAACTGTGTGACTCAAAAAAGCTAATTTAATAAACTTTTGTAAATAGGAACCTGTCTAAATATGTTAAAATTTGTCTTATCCAATTTTCATGATAAATCAAAATGTGTGAAGAAATCCGTTCCTTGTAGAAATGTGTCCTTGTATTTAGCTGGATGATATTTAGGAATTCAATGCATGATGACAAATTTACTACCGTTTTAAAATAACATTATGTTAAAAAAATATGAAGTATGTTATGTTCACTAAACTGTTTAGACCAATTATTGAACTATACAATTACTAAACTGTAGCTTATAGTTTATTCTAATGGCCAAGTACATACCTTCTCGTAAAGGCCAAGCGGCTCATAAAGTCCGTTTCAGATTTATAAAATCGTAACAATTATTTTTGTATATGGACAATGTGTTCATACATTTGCCCGATTGAACAGATATAATATTTGCCAGTTATTGGGATCGTGGGTTTGTTAATCGGCATTTGGCTTCACTGCGTCAGAAGTAATCCTCTTTAAATCCATTGATCTGTTTGCAAAGAGGTTTATCGTCATTGTCGCCATTAATGGCAATTTGTTATCACTTTCAAATGCATACAATTGGCTAAGAGTTTGTCGACTATAAAAGAAAGAAAAAAATTGAAAACGTTGTTATTTTGATGATACAATTTGCTATTAATTACTAATTTAAAAATTATGTATACGTTTTTTAATTTCCATATGATACAGAGTGTCCACAAAAGATTGGTACAATTTCATACATTAGTCATACTGTTAATTTTTAACACATGATGTTATTCCTTTGTTTGTTTTGTTGGCTACACGTTTAAGTTTTGTTTTACTCATATTTATGCCGATTTTGTTCATCCGAATAGGATTTTTACCTAAAATTTAATATGTTGACTAAAATATTTAATGGACAAGGTTTGAAAACTTTGATTGAATAAAACGATAACTGCCAGAACCCCCATAATTTGTTATTAGAATCAAGATGGTTGGTCGAATGATCTTTATATGTTTGAACTCACTTGTTCTGTTGATCTGGGGTAGTATTGTCATCTAACGTGTCCGACATGCGATATCTCATGGCTTCTTCTGACTCTGCCTTGAATCTAAAGAGTAAATTGAGATCAGAATTGTTCAAAATAATTATATCTGTTTATTATATACTGAATAACTCCCCAGTATTTTTGACATCACTCTTTGTGTTTTATCCGTATTGGGTGAATAAAGGACACTGTCTACTTGTAAAAAACACCTTAGTTAACGTGCCAAAAGAAACAAAATATCAATGCCTTTCTCCTAAATTTTACATACCTCCATTTCCATTTAAAATCCTGTTATAAATCGGGTTTTTTATTTTGTTTTATTTTTTTAGAAATGCTTTCATTATTTTCTTACTGAATTCTTTAACTGAGATGTTTTTCTCGGAGGTTATGTCTGTTATTTACCATATTATAAGGTTAAACTCTATCATAGGGCGTGATGCCAGGAAAATATGCAAGTTAGTTTGATTGCTAACTCCGTCTATTTTATCTGCCAGTTAACGATTTAAATTTAAAGCCACAATATCTATTAATATGAGTTGTAGGTAACACTAAACTGAGCTGTGTAGCCGAAACAACTAACACAGGTTGAGCATCGTAAGTTAAAAACTAACAATATGGCTTGAGTATGAAGAAGAATTCTTAGTAAAGGAATCTTTTAGTAGCGTTATGTTTTCCCCGTTTACTAAAAAACAATCGGATCGGTTTGATGAACACGTCATGTAAATCAAGTTTGCAAAATGATTGACAATTTTAATAAAATGAATACTGCTACTTACACTACCATACTCTATCGTAGTTTAAATAATTAGGTAGTAGTTATTCAACATCTGAAAATTAAGATTTATGATTCGAATGTTACAGGTTTGCTATTAATGTATACTAGGGTTGCAGTAGATAATAGATAATGTACGATGAAAATTTAAGAATGGTGTAAAAGAAAATTGATAGTTTAAAAATATAATCTTTTATTCTTTATGGAAATCTTTATGGTTTCTCTAGAAAGCCATTTATATTCCGAACTAATCAACCTGAAATATTTACTCTTAAATAGTGAGACATTTTTTTATACGTTACAATATAAATCTTATATTTTGTAGTGACACAAGGCCACACGTTTATTTAGTGTGGCCTTGAGTGTCATAACAGTTTTATACAAATTAGAAAGTGTCTGTTTGTTTACTGAGTGAATTCATGTGTTAACCCATGCAGGCTTTGACGACTGGGCAGGTAAAGTGCTTATCTGTAGCCAATACTAGCCACAGTGGACTAAGCCTTGCAGCAAGCGGATCAACGGATTTGAAGAGATTGTTTGTGACAGAGCGAGACTGCACGATGTTAAACAAACATTCAACATGATCAACGAATATATCTGATGATCTGACGTCAACTACATCAACTAAGCTACCACTCTCGGGACTATGTTTGCAGTTGTAGTTAATGTAAACTAACTTTAAATGGCATACCTATTGGGAAAGATGTTAGTATGAGTAATAAAACATAAAATTCCAATCCTGCATGATAATTCACAAGTGTTTATGGAAAATAAATCTTTAGATTTCGTACGCGTTTTTTAGCTGGAAATTTTCTATATTTGAATCCGGGAATTTGAGGACCGTATTCAAGCTCTCTACTAATAAACCAGCTCGCTTCTTGGTCTTATTTTGAATACTTGTAGTAAGAATATCCATGGAACAATACTGAAAATCAAGTTAAATTTCAACTAAATATAAAAGAGTGTTGTTCTTAACTAATTTCAGAACGACACCTAATTTCAGGTTTGCTTGCCTAGTTTCAGAGTATTTGATCTAAAAAAATTATATGTAATATATCTTTTTCTGAATAAATTGAATGGAATAGAACTGCACATTATTAATTCTACTTTACACCAATGCTACAAAACATCATATGCCAATAGAATTATAGCATTAAGAATGCAAAAGAATGTTAACAAGAGTAATCAAAATACAAAATAAAGTATACGTAGGGGAAATAATATCCGTGTGTTAAGTGAAATGAATCAAGAAACACAAATTCCAAGTTAAAACATTCATTATTATTTATTCAACTAAAAATAAATTATTCTTTCGCATGGCTGCTGATAAAGTATACCAACAGCTGTTCAAGATATACAGGTTTCAAAAATTGTTAGCTTGCGTGCACATAGCTTTACCACAATACAAGAGGTACCGCCATAGCGAGCAAGTAGAGTGTGCTTGACATTGAGTAATGAACAAAGCAAGATAAATTATGTGTTTTAAACTACATACAACAAATAGCAACCTGAATATGTTTTTGAACTGCAATTTGCATTTCACATGTTTTTTTACTGTGTATTTGATAAATATATTTAAGATGCATTTTAAAATAGTGTTCAACTCGTAATGAGAGAACCTAATTTCGAGACGATGGGCCAGGATACTTACAATGAAATTAAAATGGGAGTGAAACAATTTCTAAATTGTAAACTTAGCGTTGGAAAAAAGTAGGTATGTAAAATTTGTTATGAAAAAGTAAATAAGATTTTTACACTTCTAATGTAACTGTATTTGCACTGACGAAAAGCCATGTATTAACTGGAGTAATAAACTGGCCGCAATGCAGAAAAACAAATGTAAATTGTAAATGTTTTTTTCTTTGTAGTTATTTTGTATATTATATTTCTGTATATATTATCTGTATATATATATTAGGTTAGTTTAGTTTTAGTTTGACTTGAGTAAGTTTGAAAATCATGTATATGAAACTCGCTTGTAAATAAAGGCCTTTTTATTTATTTATTTAATAATGTTTGTATTAAAATTGTCCCGTTGTAACAAATACACTGTTGTAAATCTGTAAGAACGGTTAGACATTATCTCCTGTTACCATTGACGCAAAGCCTTCAGTGTAAAGGTTATACTGCTACTAAGCAGTAACTGTACCGTAGCTGATTAGTATATGTATGTACGTTTCATCATTAGCTTTGTGAATAAACTAATGTTGGTTTTAATGAACACAAGAGTTTTTTGGAAGCTCTGACTAAGTAAAAAATTTAACTTAAACTATGAAATGCCAATAAAAACGGGTGCGAAAATGTTTCAACTATATTTATTTAACTATATTATTGAACTAATTATTATAGAACATTGATTCCAGAGGTTCCTCTACCATTTTCCGAAATTTATCATGCTTCTATTTTTATTTTCATTAGGATATTAAACTCAACAGGCTAAGGGCGGTAAAAGTACTGTTACACTTGATTATATACAAAATACATTACAGTGTTATAATCAATGATTTTATCATACTACCTAAAAATATGGGATGATTAAATAATCCGCCGAAACAGAAATGGCGCATACAATCATTCTACCCTGGCATATTATATCATCGGCAATGGTATATTTGATCAGTTTTTAAATGTTGGAAGTGGCCAAAACAATAGCGACGCTGAGTAACTCGAGCCAACAAACACTTGACATGACGTGCAAGTGCGACATTGTGGTCAATTAATTGATTCTTTTCTTTACTAACCTGACGTCTTATCCACTGTCGTTTCTAAATGAATGTCAAAAATAATATCCTCCACATAATTAGCTTTAGTTTGAGATAGTTTGAGACTTAATATTTTTTGGTAATATGAATCGACATAAATTATATGCTTTTACTAAATAGGTTTATATCAACAAAGTTATATTAACAAAGTTTAGAACACATTAAATATATATAAAATACTGATGTTGTCTTATGCTTTGCTGGAGTTTCAACGTTGCTTGCGATTTAAATAGATCTATATCACCTAAAACTTGAATAACAAAAAAACCCAACATGAACAATTCAGGTTATAGATAAAAAACAAATAAATAATTATTTCAAATTTTAAACGTATAGGCAAATTTGTATACGTATACATTTTCTTGCCAACGCATGAAGGGTTGAAGTATTTGAGATACACCTTATCATCTTATCGTCTTACACTAACTTTCCTTGAAGACGAATGACTAAAATCGGTTCTTATCCTTCCATACAAAGGATTTGAAAAACACCTGATTTAAATTATAAGATAAATTCTAAAGAAACAAGCGTTTGTAGTGGGAATTTTTAAACTGATTAGGAATGAGGGATGGACAAATCAGGGAAATATTTGACCTTGACAAACGATTACCTTCGTTGCATGTAAACTAGATCTATTATATAAACACATATGAAATCCAATTAAGATCAGTGTAAAAAGTCCGTAAGTTTATAACAAAAATACTTTTTGTTAAAAAAAACATTGTTTTTCGTCCATTGCGGGAAAGTCCTGTATTTTGATAGGTGAAAAGAAACAATTTTCCACATCGTCGCCCGTGCACGTGAAGTGTTGGTTCAAGTTCCTCAGATAGCTATCGCTGTAGCAACCACAACAATTGTCCGATCACTCGTATATTAATGTGCTGTGTAGAGTAAATTGGAAACTAAAATGGTAATGTTATTTTTCATTGTAAGATAATTTAGTTTGATGTAATCAAGCTTTTAAACAGTATATATAAACCATGTTGAATGTGTAAATCGTTTTTCTTAATATTGCAGCAAAAGTAGCAGTTTTAATTCAGGCGTTGCGGGTCTAAAGTAGCTCTTTTACTCCCTCTTTTACTTAGGAGTAAAAAGCCTTTTTGGTCCCTCGGGAGTAGAAATCAGCTGTTGTAAGTTTGATTGTAAGCAATTGCATGAATCGAAATTATTTATTGATTGATTTAATTGGCTTATTGTTGCACGATTTCCAATAGTTCGACAAATCAATAGTATGATGTATAGTAACGCAATCGCAATAGACAATATGATCGAATAACTCACTGAACAGCTGCTTATTTGTATTAGCAAAATTTAAAACAAGCTGGAAGTCACTGTGAGAGGTTATCTTTACATGAACAGTATTTTCGTTTTCTAGCTTATTTGTTGCAATGACAAAAATATAGTTCATCAAACGGATAATAAGTCTCTTTTTAACCTTCGCTAATTTTTCTTGAGCTCGGGTTGAAAGAGTCTCTTAACGCCCTAGTGATGATATATAGTATTTCTTGGTACGTATACTAAACACGTAA